TATGTCCTCCTTACCATGATCTAGTTGTAGGGTGGTGCCTGTTCTGGCTAGTTCATCTGCTACGCAGTTTCCAGGGATGTCACTGTGTCCTGGGACCCATTGCAGATTTACCGTGAAATAGGATGACAGATCCGTTAGAAGATTATAGCAATCTTTCACTGTCCTCGACGAAATCCTATGAGAGATCAGAGATTTCAAAGCCGCCTGGCTGTCTGTATATATAAATACACTTCTTGTTGTCAGTACAAGAAGACTTTCTTTAATTGCAGTGACCTCCGCTTGGAAGACACTGCAGTGGTCTGGTAACCGGAAGGCGACTTTGGTATCTAGTTTAGCCGAGAAGACACCGCCGCCTACTCGGTTATCCAGTTTGGAACCATCCGTATAGAAGCTTATCCCTGCTTCCTTGTCCACTACGTCCCTTTCCCACTCCTCTCTAGAGGGGAAGGCAATATTGAGGACCGGATTTAGGTTCAGCTCCATAGGATTGCAAAAATCCATAGTTATGGGATGAAACGGGAACTTACTGAGTATCATAGAATGCCCCTTGTTGCTGGCGACTAGTAGGGAGGATTCCCTCAATCTCAGAGCTGACTTCGCTGCCATTTGCTTGCGATACAGATCTGTTGGCAGCAAGTGTAAAATTATGTTGAGTGCCTGGCTTGGCGTAGTCCTGAGAGCTCCGCTGATGCAAATACTAGCTGCTCTTTGTATACTTGCCATGCTTCTAATCGCATATTTCTTTTTTGTAATTGGCCACCATACTACTATACCGTAGGTCATGATCGGCCTTACAATTGCTGTGTACAGCCAGTGAGCCACCCGAGGTGTCAGTCCCCATCTGGGCCCCACTATTATTTTACATGTGTAAAGCGGTGTAGCTGCTTTCTTTACCCTCGCTTCCAAGTTTTGTTTCCAAGAAAGCTTCCTGTCCAAAATTAGTCCCAAGTAGCTTGCTTTATCTCCTATCGTTAGCCTGGTGCCATTTAAAAATGGCGGCGTGATTTCTGGAGTACTGTGTTTCTTAGTGAACAATACTAGTTCTGTCTTGCTAGCATTTAAATTCAGTCCGCATGATACGGCCCATCGATTAATATCGTTTAATATTGTCTGCATAAGGCTAGCGAGGGTGTTCGGGAACTTTCCCCTAACCGAGACTGCCACATCATCAGCGTAGGACACAACATATACCCCTTCTTTTCTGGACCCACCAGCATTTTATTCATTGTCAGGATCCAGAGAAGTGGGGATAACACGCCTCCTTGGGGTGTACCCCTTCGGACAGATCTGTGAATCGTTGAAGCTTCCAGCGTTGAAATAATTAACCTGCTCAAGAGCATCTGTTCAATTAATTTCCGGAGAGGCTCAGAGATGCCCAGATCTTTAAGCGCGCTCAATATGGCCTTCGACTGGATGTTGTTGAAGGCACCTTCTATGTCTAGGAATGCTACGAGGGTGTATTCTTTTATTTCCAGAGACTTTTCAATCTCTGTTACCACTGAGCTTAATGCCGTTTCTGTGGATCTACCCTTCGAGTACGCATGCTGCGAAGCTGCCATTTTTCCTGGGTTTATTATGTCCCTTATATGTATTTCTATTAGTCTCTCCAGCGTTTTTAAAAGAAATGATGAAAGACTAATTGGTCTAAAATCCTTTGGATTAATGTGTGAGCTTTTGCCAGCCTTTGGTATATATATCACCTTGACTTCCCTCCATATCGAGGGAATATAGTTTAATTTCAGTGCCCCACTAACCATGGTTGTTAACCAGTTTATTGTGTAGCTCAGGGACTGCTGTAACTGAGCCGGGAATAGTCCGTCTGGTCCCGGCGTTTTATAAGGCTTGAAGCTGCCTATTGCCCAATAAACATTGCTATCTGACACTATGCCTAGCGGAGGGGACTTTGAGCCCACTTCACACTTCATTATATGTTCCCCTATGAGGTTCTCGGAACTGTCTGGGAAGTGAGTATCCATGCAAGTAGACCTAGAGTCTCTTTACTGGATACCGTCCAGCTGTGATCTGGCTTCTGAAGGTATCCGATGCTATGTTTCGACTGTGTCGTTATCTTTCTCAGTCGAGACGCCTCTGCCGTATTCTCGATGTCATTACAAAAAGACATTTCTTACCTCCTTTTTGTATGTCCGTTGGTGGTTATGATAGTTATCCCACCCTATATCTTTTTGGGATAATTTGGCAAAATTGAATTGCTTCCTGCTATTTTTCTGCATGTTCTTAAGTATGGGAGACTACCAAGGAGGTCTAATTGTTTCCCTACTGTACGTTAATGGTCAAGCTACTTCTAGTGCTTGAGGCAAGAATCTGTGAATTGTTTAACGAGGATGTCTAGGTCCTCTTTCTTTTCCGGTTGAAATGGTGGAATCATAGGAATACGCTTTTTTAGCTCCTGCATGTGCATCTGCTAGTTCGTTTTCCTATGATTCCTAAATTTCCCTTCCCTAACTACATTTTCTTCAATTATACACTCAATGTAGCGGTGATCTGAGAAGGAATGTTCCTCCAATACCCTTCAATGTGTTATTTTATCCACCAGTTCTTCCGATACCAGTGTTATATCTAATACTTCCTGGCGGTTTCTGGTTATAAATGTTGGCGTACTACCTTTGTTACATAGAAAAAGCTTACTTCCTATTAAATAATTAAAGAGCAACTCACCCCTTTCATTAATATCCGTGCTTCCCCATAGTGTGTGGTGCGCATTGGAGTCGCACCCAAGTATAATCGAACACTTGGATGCTTCGGTGTCACGTACCAGCTCTTTTAACAGCTGCGATGGTACTGCTACCTCGTCGTATGGCATGTATCATGATGCCAACCGGTATTTCTTCTCAACCGTCTCCCAGCTTACTACTGTAGTGTCGTTACTACTGTAACTGTGTAATAAAAAGACATTAAGCTTTTTGCTAGCCAATATACATGTCCTAGGCTTACCTACACAACCATTCGCGTATAAATTATATCCCGGTGTTCTCAGACAGCAAATACTTCCTACATTAACCCATGGCTCCTGAATGAGGACGAAGCCAGGCCGTTCTTCTGCAATGCGGTTAACTAGGGCTAGAGACGCTAGTTTGCTGTGGTGTAGATTAATTTGGAGAAGACGCATTAGTTATTGTCTTCTCTGCATCATCATAAGAGTCGCTTAAAAGCTCACTCTCAGTATAAAGTTTAGAGAGTCTGTCCGCAAGCTCAGACCCCGAGGACTCCACTGGATCTTCCTCGACTTCGCACTCCGATTCCGATGCCAAGTTTTCTCCTGCATCGACGTCTGACTTGTAGGTCATGACCTTCACTTTTGTGAAACCGTAGTTGATCTCTCCGCCACTTTTCGCTAGCGGTTCTACGGATTCTTTTGTTAGAAGCAACAGAATCTGCATTGTGGCTCGTTTCGTCTCCACACCAGATTCCGCTGCGGGGTCGTTAAAGGCCTTGACGAATCTCCATCCCCCAGTTGGAAGATTCGGGTTGCATGCTCTTATGAGCTCCCTTACCTTAGCTATTGCTGCCTTATATAGCTGGACCGATCTCTCGTCGTCGCACGCTATCATCTTTATCTGCCCTTGATACCATCCGGCATCCGCACATGACGGGGGTGGACCTGGATTGCTTAGTAGCACTTCCAAAGCCACATTCGTCAGTGCGGCTTGCACCCATTTCCATTGGGCTCTGGGGATTTTTCCTTCGGGGTCACCCTCATCCAGCACCCCAATGACAATGCGGTTTCGGGCCACATCAGCAAAAGATCTTGCGGGCGCTACGCCCTTAGTTTTTGGTCTCTTAGCTGACGGTTTAGCCTCTTCAGCTGACCTTTGTCTTTTAGCTGCCACTACCGGCGCTTCTAGCTTGAAGTTAGGTAGAACAGCTCTCGCGCGATCAATGGATTCCTGGAGCTCCTTTGTGAGCTCCTCATTGGTTGGCGGTTGCAGCTCCACCTTCTTCAGCAGGTATGCAGCGCGTCGCCTCTCTGCATACTTCGCTGCACTAGTACTGAAGAGTACCGAACACTCAGATAGGAAGCCTGACCTTAGCTAGATACCTCACTACTACAATAGGGGCGAACTGCTGCCAGCTCGCCCTTGCCCACGTCGTGAACCTGTGGTATCTATTCCCAGTCGGCACCCTCGTGGAGGGTTCAGCGGAGGATTTTGCCAACCATCCAACACCTAACTAAAGTGTAAAAATTAGTAAAATTTTATAATTTGTATATTATTTTCAAAAATTGTCTGTACTTAGAAACTTAAAATCACACGTGGGTAACCAAGCCAAGAATAAGAATATGATTTTGAGGCTACCATCCCAGAAAGCCATCTATCGCTATGAAAGATTTCTGTTAAAGTTTTTATGAGTTTCTTAAGGCGCAATCAATAATGCTAACCGAAACTCTTGTATACGTGTGATCGTTTATCCTTTTCTTACGCATTGCAATATTGCAATTTTATGAAAATTATCGGTAAGTCTAGTTGAGGCATAAGCCAACGATAGTCAAAATAAACTATCGATTGTTTTGCAGCTCTAGTGTACGATCGAGGACAGTTAGAAATATACAGATCTATATTTAATGTATAAATTGCGTTTCATGGTAATTGTATGTATTGATGTATTTTATATGCCTTAACTACAAATTATTCATCATATTGTCTGTTATTCACAGGAGAAAGATATAATATTTATTAATCATTTTAAAAAGTAAGCTGCTGAAGAAAAGTGCATTTTTCGCATAACGTAATTGCTTCATTCCTTACTAGAGAACGTATATCTGTTCGAAGAACGTTCTCTGTTTATACACTACCCCTTTTTAAGTCCCTTCTTGGGACGTAAATTTATTTACGTTCTTCCAAGTAGAGGCATATAACTGTTATACAGTCAATTGCTACTTCCGCAAATTGGAAGTAAATTTTTTATAGGTAATGTGGATTTAACACTTCTTTCTAACAATAGATGACGCAAAATTGCGATTGGAATCCACAAAGTGTGCGCCATTGTAAACGCCATGATAGCGGACACTTCTGTTGTTTTCTGCTGTCACTTCTTCCGTCTGTGTCATTGTTGTGCTACAATAACTCACCGGTAGAGCACTGTGCTCGCCTGCGCTCCGTGCGTTCTGTCGTTGCATGTCGGTCTAATGTGATTTATTTGTTTACCCATTTGACAGTTCCTGGAAAATCGCCACGGTGAACATATCTTAACGCTTGTGCGAAAAAAATCTATATTTCGATGATGCTGCGTGTGTAAACGAAAGTGCGAAATCTCAACATACGTACAACCAATCACATCAAGCTGATAGGCAAACGTTCAGCGCACTTTTAAAAGTGCAGTGGGAGAAGCTCCACATTTTGAATAAAATAAATACAAAATTCTTTGTTTCTATGAACGCGCACAGGTTGAAATTGGATTGCAGTGCATTTCCGGCAAACTCACAAGCCTTAAAATAAAATCATTGAAATAAAATATTAAAATGTCAAAAGCGTTTCAAGTTCCAAAACTGTGGTAAATAAACAGAAAAGTGTATTTAAAGCGGTGATGACTGTGCTAAGTGTATAAAGGAAAATAATAATAATATAATACCCGCCTTTGTATGCGTGTTTGTGGCAATATATGTGTAACATAGCAACAAACAAACAGTTATTTGTAAATATAATCATAAAGTTACTTACAGAACAGTTTGAGGAGCCGAGTTAAAGAGTAATTAAAACAAAAATGTTGCTTTTAACTAATTTAACTTTTACGTTTGGATTATTTATGTTCTGCGGTGCGCTGGTGCATTGTCACCTCAATGTTTACCTCAATCTGCACGAGGTGATACGATTAATAGGTGAGCGTACGCCAAATTTACTTATTCGTATTCGTTTTAGAAAATGTGTACATTTAGATGGGAAAGAACCAGTGCAAAAAAAATGATAATTATAAAAAACTTGGGGACAAATATTGCATGAAAGTTTGTGTTGTTTTTAGACATGTGGTCTTCCAGAAGAAGAAAAACGCATATAATTTATGTTATGGCCAAGAATTATATATTATAAAGATAAGTATTTGCTACTATGTTTTAGAAATGATTTCGGGCCAGTGACCTCTGCGGCTGGCTTGAATAAATTCCAGCCGAGAGGCCCACTTTTAGCAACAGTTTGGGCCGTATGTCAGGAATAATGCGCTGAATACTCTCTTCCAAGGCGTCAATCGCCATTTAAAAAAACACCCTGTGTGATACTAAAAAAGGAAGTATGCAAAATTTGGGATCAATATTTCAAAAACTGAGGGACTAGTTCGCGTATATACAGACAGACAGACGGTCAGACATGGCTAAATTGACTCAGATCGTACACACATATATACACTTTATAGGGCCTCCAACGTTTCCTTCTGGGTGTCACCAACATCAGGACAAACTGTATATGTATATGTATACAAAAATAACGAGAATTTTATATTATACTAGCAGTCCCGACAGACCTGTTAGGATAGTTAGGAAAATTTTATGAAGAAATATATAAAATATGTACCTCGAAACAATAACAAAATCAAAATAAATAGTTTTAAGTAATATCCGTAAGAAGAAAGTAATGGATGTACCAAAAAGTAACAAATGTGTTCAGCCGAACTATCCTTTATGAATTTTCATTCAGATATGTATCGTATAGAGTAGCATAGTAGTATGAATGTTTAGACACTATACACCATACACATGTCTATAGTCTTCATCGTTTAAACTATACTTATGATATCTCAGAATTTGATCTCAGCGCCATCTACCAGGCCAACTGAAACTGAAATATACTTTTGAATATCTGACACGACTGCAGCGCAGTCTGCCGGAACTCTGTTTAAAACGTTCTAACATCAACAACAATTTATTAATAAATAAATTCATTGTTTAAACATTATCCAGATCGAATTGTGAATCTAAACCATTCACAAACCCCCTTGAATACACACAAATTATTTCATCAGAATCCGTCCAACTGTTTGGAAGGAGTTCAATTACAAACACACGTACAGAAGATTTATATATGTATTTAAAACAAGATATATTTATAAAAATTTGAAAATCAATCAATACCACAAATTATAAATTCAACATATTTATGAAAAAAAGTGGATGTTTTAATTATAAGAAAACTGTTTCCCAATCTTTTAAATATTCCCCATATAGCGGGTTTAACTATTGTATAAATCTACAAGTAACTAATCCCAAGATTTTCAGTAATACACACGCAAAAATGTCCCACTTGGTACGGGTTGCCTACTAATATTCTACTCCTGAAACGTCCAAGTGCCTCAAATCTGTTACAGTGTGTTGCCGTGTTATGGTTTAAAATGTATAACTTTAAGAATGTTTTTATTACATATTCCATTTTTCGACTATTAAAATTCCTAACGATTAAATTTACATATAATAAGTATATCGCTGTGAGTGATTTAGAATATTTTGTAAATATTATTTAGTTATTAGTACATTGTTTGGATTATTATTAAGATGTTCGTGAATTGTACACGATTTTTATACCCTGTTGCTACAGAGTGTAATAGTTTTGTTTACCTAACGGTTGTTTGTATCACCTAAAACTAATCGAGTTAGATATAGATTTATATATATATATAAATGATCAGGATGAAGAGACGAGTTGAAATCCGGGTGACAGTCTGTCCGTCCGTCCGTCCGTCCGTGCAAGCTCTAACTTGAGTAAAATGGAGATATCTTTATGAAACTTGGTAGACATGTTTCTTGGTACCGTGAGACGGTTGGTATTGCAGATGGGCGTAATCGGACCACTGCCACGCCCACAAAACGCTATTATTGAAAAACAAATAAATTGCTATAACTAAGCTCCACAACAAGATACAAGACCCTTATTTGGTACACAGGATCACAATAGGGAGGGGCATCTGCAGTTAAATTTTTTTTTTAAGTGGGCGTGGTCCCGCCCCTAATAGGTTTAATGTGCATATCTCTTAGACCGCTAATGCTATAATAACAAAATTCACTATAAGCAAGTGCTTTTAGAACCTTTACCTACAGTGTGAAAATAGGTAAAATCGGGTGGCAACTCCGCCCACTCCCCATATTACGGTACTGTTCAAAACTACAAAAAGCGCTATAAATCAAGCACTAAACACGCCAGAGACATTAAATTTTATCTCTGGGATGGTATGAGATGACTTTATAGGAACCGCGTTCAAAATTTGACAGTGAACGTGGCACAGCCCACTTTTAGGTGAAAACCCATATCTTGAGATCTGCTTAACCGATTTCAACAAAATTCGGTACATAACATTCTTCTCATATATATTTATACCAAGCACTAAACACGCCAGAGACATTAAATTTTACCTCTGGGATGGTATGATGACTATATAGACCGCGTTCAAAACTAGTCAGTGGGCGTGGCACCGGGCACTTTTAGGTGAAAACCCATATCTTGGGATCTCAACAAAATTCGGTGCATAACGTTCTATTCATATTTCTATTCTATAGTGCGAAAATGGGCGGAATCGGATTCTTTCATTTTCCACTATGCAAATCAAGCAACAATGATTATATCCGGGTAAAACTTTGCGTGAATAATACGTTTAAAGTATGCCACCTTGTGACCAAAAATTGTCTAAATCGAACGAAAACTGTTCAAGCCCCTAAGTACTGAATATGTGGACCCCAGTGCCTATAGTTGACCTTCTACCGAAAATATCGGTCAATCCCCAAAGAAATCTCAAACGAGTATACCATTTGCTTTGCGAGACTATAAAATGTTCGGTTACATCCGAACTTAGCACTTCCTTACTTGTTTATATATATATATATTTTTTTTTTTGAAATTAATACAAGAAGATTGTTTTGTAATGTATTTGTATAAACTTTTGTTTCGAAAATATCTTTGAAAGTTTTCATGAATGTTTTTCATTACAAATACCTGTTCACAAAAAAGTTATTTAGTACATTCGTTTTATTTACTTCTCTGTGTCAAAAAGGAAGATTTCGACCAGGTGATCTCATTGTTTACATCTACATTGCATCCTCAGAGGTGGTAGGGAAAAATAGTAAATATGCAATAAACTTTTGTTTCGAAAATATTTTTCATTCATGTTTGTCAAACAAAAAAGTTATTTAATAAACTACTTCTCTTCATTTACACCTCTTTGTCAAAAAAAGCAGATTTCAGGCAGATTGTAGGATTATGATCGTGGGTGGAAAAAGAAAAATTTGAATTATGAGCTGTATATTCATCAAAAAAAAAACAATTAAAATGAAAGTTTCTTTGAATTTTTAATAAGCAATAAAATAAAGTGTTAACCGAAAAAATTTAATGTAAAATTCTCCACGAGGAATTCTATTCTAATTTGCTCAAATTTATTAAATTAGGAATAGTCTACAATATTAATCACAGAATTCATTAAAATAATAACATTACAATAATTGTTTGTTTTAGTTCATAATTTTACTCTGTTTATTGGGATGAATCAATACTTTGTCGTGCCTTCTTTTGCCTTAATCACCGCCCTAATTCTTGGTGGTGTTGACGATAAAAGCTTTTGCAATAATCCGACCTTCATGTCATCATACTACTTATTGAAAAGGACGGGGTCCAGTTCTTTTTCGTTCTTCGCCTTCGTGGCTACCTGTGTCTTCATAATTACCCTAGATTTTCGATGAGTTTAAAATTACGATTTACTACTGTTCCAGCGACCAATTTTCATACTTTTTCGCCCTTGTGTACCGCTATTTGCTCATTCGTTGGCTCTAAAAAATTTATTTTTTTTAGGACATCGACCGTTGAGTCCTTCCTCTCTGAGTCTCCAACGAACGGTTGATGAATCCACTATTACTCCTGTTGGATCACCAAGGTCCCTTTTAATATCTGACGAGGATTTAAAACAATCCTTCCAAACTCATTTGTCCGGGCAAAAGAACACGTCTCCCGAACCTTTAATGAAATCTGCTATATTAGTCTGGGTCCGCCCGATATTTTTCTGGAGCTTTAAATCTATTGCTATAAGGTTACTGTTTGCCATTTAGTAACAACACTTTGACAAACTTTTTACAAACACAATTGATAGTTTAATAATACAAATCAACTCTTTACATCTCTGTCTATACAAGAAAAAATTGCATGCAATCCAATTAGGCATAATAGACTTACTCAAACTTAAAGTGGGTGCAACTATGTTACTTGGCCGGTTTTATGCATTGTACTGTATACACGCAATTCGATGGAATCATACTGAATCTACTTCAAAATTCTGGATTAAATTAAAGGTATAAAGCCGCACTTGGTCTGAATTCTTTTAAACTATGGCAGATGTCGCCATTCCACTCTTGTCATTACCATACTCAAATGTAGATGCTCATAGAAATTGCATTTCTCCACATAAAAAAAGCTAAAAGAAAAAACAGTTAACATTTTAATATCAAAGTTGATGTATTTTTTCCTATTGAGAGCAAACACATTTATTAAAACTCAAAGTATGCTTTAGAGCTAATTTTACGGCCATAAGTTGAAACTGTTGAGGAAATTAATTTGTGGTATGAATTTAAAATGTATAGATACAAATTATACCCTGAACAGGGAATATTAAGTTTATAACACCCAGTAGCAAATGTCGGAGGCCCTACAAAGTATATACTCGTATATAAATGATCAGCTTTGTCCGTCTGTCTGTATATATGCGAACTAGTCATATATATTGCATATAACTGCCATACAAGCTGCTCTATCAAAATTAAGTTCTTGTAAGGAAAACCTTTTTTATTTTATAAATAATCTTCACAAAATTTTTGTATAGGTTATTGTCTAAATAGATATCTAAATATTGTAAAGATCG